TCTCTCCTGCTAGGAAGACTATTGCATATACTGAAGTAAAATCTGCAACCTGCAAGTTTTCTCAGTCTTTAGTCCTGCGAAGTAGTCTGTAGCACCGAGACTGGTGCTGGGTCATGGTGTGCTCCTTATGATGGTGGGACTCAACAAGCAGTTGATGTTGTGCTCCAAGGAGTTTGTTCCACCACAACTCAGATTTGCCTGAATTGACACATGTCCAGAGTCAGTCCACAATAGACATGTGATTTTGAAAAACTCACAGAATGATGGAATTGTTACAGGATTGGAAGGGACCTCTGGACATCATCTGGTCCAACTCCTCTGCCAAGGCAGGGCCACCTAGAGCAGGCTACACAGGAATGTGTCCAGGCGGGTTTTGAATATCTCCAGAGAGGGAGACTCCACCACCCTCCTGGGCAGCCTGTAAACTCATCAGATCCTAGACTTTTGTTGTGGCCAGCCCATGACTGTTGGTGTTGAATTGTTCTAGTCACCTCCCCTGCTGGCAGTGATCAGAACCCAGCAGGGACAGGTATTGACTTGCCTCTTGTCATGGCATATTTGGAAGAGTGGGAGTCACTTTCTAGGAGAGGGAATTTGGATTAAGTATGAAGAAATCTTTCAGGGAAAGCCTTGAAACAGCTAAGTGTAGTGAAAAAGGTTAGGGGATTTATTTTTCATGGTGTTAATAAAACCAAAGCCTCGCAAAAAGTGGAGAGTGCAGACTAGTGCTTATCAACCCTTTCTGATTTCTGAATCCCCCAAATTCACAAGAAGCTTATGAATTGAAGTTTGCTGACAACAGTCTTCTTCCTACTAGTTTCCTCATCCAGGCCTGTGGTACTCAAGGGGTCCTCAGATACCCATGTGGAAGAAGTCTGCACATAGTCTAGAAAGCATAGATACCAACAAAAGCATGTGTGTGTGACCGAGGATGGGGAGAGAATCCAGGTCTACCTTTTTTGCTATAAAAGTAGCTTAGAAGAAGGTAGCTTATTATCAGACATAATGGTTTGTCTCCATCAGTAGGAATGAAAAAAGCAGGTCCAAGAGTAAAGTCTGTGCAAGTGTTTATCTATGCTCTGACCTGCTGAGTGAAAATTTCCTGGGTTTTCAGATTGCTTCCAAGCTACTGATCCCTTGTGAAAGGAAAGCTGGAAGTGAGAGACAGTGAATGAAAGAGGGACATTTCTATGGACTTGTTTTCAGTTCTCTGTGTAAATTTCATTATTTGAGCTTTCAAACTTAAAGCCTGCATGTTTGAGATAGACATACAAATGACTACTGACAGGTAAAGCTTGCATAGCATAGGTGCATACAAAGTAGGAAGGGTGCAAAAGGCTTTCAATCACCCATGTTGATGCAGGGAGGTCATATCTAGTCTGTGCAGGTCCTCAGCACTGGCTGGGTTTTCACTGTAATTAAGTAGGTCAATTCTTATTTCATAGAATTATAGAATCATAGAATGGCTTGGTTTGGAAGGGACATTAAAGATCACTTAGTTCTAGCATCCCTGCCACGGGGGATAGGAACTCATGTTCTTAACATTAACTGACCAGTAAAACAAAACAGTGTAGTTAGCAGGGTGTAATCTATTTTAAATCATTAGGCTAATTTTAGTAAAGCAACTCAAGGTAAAAGTTGAAGTCTTTTTCCCTTTGCATAGGCAAAGCCAAAGAAGGCATATCACTTAATTCTCTCTCCAGACTGACAATCCATCTTTTAAAGTATCTGTATTGTGACAGTTGTGACACCAATAGAAAATGTTTTGAGGAGAACTCTGTGAAAATCCACTCCCAAAATTTAGGAAATACCCCATCCAGCTCTTTGCAGTTTAACACAGGACATTAGCTCTTTAAGCAAATATGTATGTGTATTTCGATATTTATATTGCTAAATATTCTCTGTCTCTATATATATTCTTTATATATTCCAATTTGGATGTTCCATACATGTATCTCAAAAGAGAAAGAAAACACAGATGTGTCATATACATTATATATAGATGATATACATATTGGTTTATAATGCACATTATGCATATATGTATAATTATATCTATATTCCTATATCATCTATAAGCTATTAATGAATTTCCTCATTGCCCATGTAAATGTTATGGCCCATCTGAACACTTCTAATTTCTTAATCTACAAGTCTAAGTCATGGCTGAAACTGCTCATCCTACCATTTCTCCTCTGTGATGGGAAAAAGAGAAACACAGAAAGAGTTCATAAGGAATTTTAGTTTTGATTTCAAAAAAAATGCATCAAAAAATAAAAGGAAGTCAGATCTTAAGATACTGTAAATTATTGTAGCAGAATTAAGGCAGTGATGATGATTCAAATCAAGCAAAGATTAATTGGCCTGGAAATTCTAGTGAGACATGATACTAAATACTGAGTTTTTTTAAGTCTATAAAATCTTAATGTAAGATTGCTGAGCCACTACTGCAAGTTAACATACTGATAAGACTTGGCTGTAATAGGAAATGAGTTGTACAAGCCAGATTTCGGGACGTGCGAAACCTATTGTGTTTACTCATCCATTCACCAGGTTTTCCTTATTGACATTTCCAAGGGACAGTACTTTATATACTGAAAAGCTAGTATGAATGTTCTGTTTTCTACTGTTAGGACTGACATCTGTGTCTAGTGAGTGGCTAGGGAGGAACCTAAACCTCAGAATGTTACAACAAAAAAGAAAATCATCAAACAATGAAAAGACATTTGTCTCATCAATTTCAAAGCTGATTAAATGCTTATTACTAATATAGACATTTTGATTAAATATTTCTCCATAAGAAATGAGTGTTTCTCCATAAGTGATACTCTCCTCTTTAGAATAAATTAATAGGACCCTATTAATAGTGGAGAGATCCTGACATATGGACAGGGGAAACAGGTTTTATTTTCCTATTACTCATACCACAAAGTGGTTGCTATTAGAGCTAGCTGATCAGGCTATTGATTTTTTTTTTCACTTAGATATTTCAAACAAAAAGTCTGTACTTACATAGAATTTTATGACTGAAAATTCTTATTCTTTTTTACAGAATGATTTGTTCCCTTTAACCGATAAATACCAAATCAAAACCAACCCTGCAAAGTACCAACCAAATGGTACTAAGTAATTTTGAAAACGATAATTCCTTTTGAAATTTGATTAAGAAAAACATCTCTGTTTCTCTGCTGTGTACACAGCAATGTGGAGAAGATGGTATCCGATCACAGGAAAATTTTCATAAAGCCTTTTGTTACAGTTATTATTTAGGAACTGGTACAGAAATTTCTGTTTCTTTAACAAGCCACTCAAAGTTTCAGTATATAACATGGCTTTAATGGGAGAATTCAGTTTTCTCCTTGGCTATGTCAACAACTTGTGAGCATAATGAAGTAATTTTCAACCTTCACCTCCCTTTCCCCATGAAAAATAAAGCAGTAATTTTATTTCTGTACTTAAGGTGGTTGTGTTGCTTGAATAGTTATCACAAAGTGTGCATATTCTTGGATTTTATGGCTGTGAAAGTGTGACGTAATGTTGGTACGATTCATTTTCTTCCATAAGATCTTTGCTTTGATAACCTACCTTTTCATTATACTGCATAATCAAAGTTTTGGTAAGCTTCCAAGCTGTTCTTCCCCTCCAGACTTTCTCTTTCTTCTTACATTTTCATCTTCTTAAATGTTCTATGTAAAATATTCAGTGAACATTTCATTTATGTTAACATAGATGCATTTATTTCATTATTGTATTTAAAATAAAATCAGTATGAAATATGCTAAAACCTTCCCTTTCAATATTTGCCCAGTTTAGAATGGATTCTGGTTGTGGAAAATAGATGCAAAAATAGAGTTCTGAATAAGTAAAGGCAAGAAATACTGCAAGATTCATGTTCAGATCATGGAATGGTATCTGTGTTTTCTAGTGGGAAGGAGAAAGAGAGTGGGGACAAAGTTTCTTTTCATTTTAATAGTACATTGAAAGTATTTCCCTTGATTTGCATTAACAGTACTTGGGGATGAGCATCCCAGAGGTATTAATCTCAAGAATAAAAAGCAAAGTGGTTCAAAATGGGTGAATTCCCACAGCTGTTTTAAGCAGAGCTCTCTGCAGACTCCTGGCATGATGTTCACTACAAGAATTATGTAATGACTTTAACAAACAGGCTTCTAGAGAAGAGAAACTCGGTGGTATGATGAGGTCAGTGGAGTAAATGTGTGTTCTGACTTTATTAGTCCAGGTAGATTAGGGTTATCTTTGTGATGAGGCAGGAGTTTTCCCAGGCCTGCACTTCTAACACAAAGGTGGATGAAGTAAAATTCAGCAAAGTCAGCTGGGTTGCCAGTGTGGAGGCTGGATGCAGTTGAATGAAAAGATGAGGACTGTGAATAAAGGAAGACAAAAAGCCAAGGACTGAGGATGAAGAGCCTGGAGAGATGTGAAGGAAGCAGCACAGTGGTGGAGAGATTGGATGTAAATGATTCAAAGGGGTAGAGCGGTACGTGTTGAAAGGAATGAGACAGGAAACACGTGAAAGGATGGAAATTTGCCTTAGGAAGTATTATCTCTTCTACTGATGCAGGAGGATTGATAGGAACAGGGTCTTACTCCCTACTTTAAAATATTTTAAGGTGCCTTTTAGAGTAAATATAAGGATATGAATAACTTCCACTTGCAGGGTAGCACAGGAGGGTCCCTCTGTTATCTCCCCGGGTAGGAGAGGATTTGCTCAGACCTCAGGGTCGTGCTCGGTGACTGCCAAGCACTATTTGGATGCCACTCCTTGGTGCCTAGCTGCCAATGGGCTGTTACAGACTCTGCCGTTGGGAGTGCGTTGGAGGATTTGATCAGCTGTGTCCCAAGTTTTTTTCTGAATATGCTCCCTACCATCATGGCTGTGTCTGTGAAGGAGAGAGAGGCAGAGATTTTCACCTGTGCTGGCCAGTGATAATCACTGTTTGAAAAAAATGTTGATGTTTTCTTTTGTTCTCTTTGAGCAGATGGGCAGAAGAAGGTTCAAGAGGAATTTGACATAGACATGGACGCGCCAGAGACAGAGCGGGCGGCTGTGGCGATACAGTCCCAGTTCAGAAAGTTCCAGAAGAAAAAAGCGGGGTCCCAGTCTTAGTAGCTACCTCACATCTTAAAACAAAGTAATCTGAAATGATTTATCGAGAAAATCAGAAATAACACAAAGATGCATGTACAGAAATTATCAATATTTAAACCCCCAATGGCAGATAATAAACCATAAACTTGTGTGTGACTTCATCCCAGATGTTTCACGCCCATTGTCCTCTGTAACTCACCACTTTACTTGATGTTGTAATAAAAAGTTAGGGTGAAGTAATTAAAGTGTCTGCCTTCATCTGTCTTTTCATATTAATCCTGCAACCACAGCGTTACAAATGAACCCAGCCCAGATGCCTGTTTTCGTCTCCATGTAAAGCTTGGAGACATAAATAACACCGTATGTTACAAGGTTTTTGCTGAGGGATGAGAGCGTGCATCTCAGCCCAGCTTACCTCATTTGGAGAATTCCAGCTGCCAGCCAAATGTGACAATGAAATTACTTCCTGGTAATGAGCTGAAAGTAAAAAGTTGCAGACAGAAGCTGGCATGAGGGGAAGAGGTGTAGGAAGCAGTGAGCAGTCTATTTTTGTCTAGTGATTATGCCAGTGAAGTGGCTTAAGTGGGGAAATTGTCCCTGTCCTTCTTCTTTGCATGGTAACATTCAGAATTACCCAGCTTGGACCACATTGACCGTTATGGAAAAAAAGAATTCAGACACAAAATACAAAATCCAATGCCACGAACCTTTGGAAAGTTTGTGGGTTTTTTTTAATTTGTAAAAATAGAAACTGACCCTCCAAATGCTGATGCAGCTTTTCACTCTTTACATAATCAAGAACTATTTCTATGCCATCTCTCTCTTTTGATCTTATTTTCCATTTTTGATGAGTAAATCATAAGAGACTCCCTATCACCATTTGCACTGTTATGTATTCAACATTATATAAGCCCCTTAATTTATCACTGTATTAGCCCAGTTTCTAATTAACAAAAAGCGTCCACAACAATGTGTTTCTTAAATTGGGAAGCATTTCTATTTTCTCCCTGTTGTAAAACAGGAACAGACCAATTTCAGGCTAGATCTAAGTAAGGATCTTGCCTGGCTTCAGACCTGATCAGGAACTGGCTGCACATATAGTGCATGAGGAAGGCTTAAACAAGTACCTTGTACTCAGAAAAAGGAGCTATTTAGATTGAGCAAGTGGGGCACGCACTACACAGAGATGTATAAAATAAAATCTCATCTTCTTCTTGGCTTCATCAGAAGATTTAGGGGTTCCAGTAGGCATCTTTGTCTCTAGGGAAATCAGAGAGAGAAGCGTTTTCTGAAGGACTGGTGTTTGCAGTGGTTCTCCAAGACAGGAGTGTGAGCCTTACCTCCAGGCTGACAGATGCAGGCATGCTGAGCTGGGACAGCCTGCCTGCCTGCCTTTAACTGGGCAGCCTGGAGCTGGGGCTCCTTCAGCTGTGACACATGCAGATATAATTGCCAGCTCTGTCTAGAGGGATTAATTTCTTCCACTCTCACCTTGCACAGAAATATTCTGATCACCAGCGCAAAGGCCACATGTATCATTAGTGCCCTCATGTAAACAGAAAGCTGCAACCAAGGGGTAGTAATAGAGGGAAAGAAGGATGTCACCCTGGTGGCAGTCGCTTCCCATGAGAGCCCACCAAAGCAGCAATACTGAAGGGGTGTAGGGCTGTGAGGGGAACTACAGAGGGAAGGCCCTCAGCATTATGCAGGTGCTGGGCCACAATTTAGTGAGGATCCAAAACCTGATGGTGGTGATAGGAGCTGTGGGACTGTGCTGGTTAGGAAGAGCCCTCAGAGATATCGAGCAGAGGGAGCCTTATGGATCCTGTGAGTGATGCAGAAAGCCAGTGCAGAGACCTGTGAGGTGCTTAATAAGCACAGTGAGACTGGGTGGGAATGGGCAGGGCTCTTTAGACCTTAGTTTAAGGATAAACATCTAAATGCTGCCCAGACCCTGCCTTAGGCACCTCTGTCTGGTCCAGGTCCCAGTCGTATGTATGTCTTAGCCACACATCACCTGCAAAGTCAGAATTCTCCAAGCTGCAGCTCAGTGCTTTCCCTCTAAAAGCACATTTTAGCAGCACTGTTTCTGTGCATTTAGGAATTTCACAAATAAACCTCAAATAATGCTGCTGCTGTGCTCCAAGTGTGGTTTGTGGAGGCCATGGATTCCCCACTTACCTTTCACAGAGACTGCTCACCATATAATAATTACCTTAGCATAATAATTTAAAATTGTAATGGGTTTGGATTGTGTTGGTGCCATTTTGTTTAGATGAACATATATCTGTAATAAAGGACTGCATTTGTGTTCTGCATTATGTCATTTGAAATAGCATGAGCTCTGTAATGGCTACTTAATTAAATAAAAACTATGGGTAAGCACTAGGCTTTTATATTTGATCTGACATTCCTTGGTCTTCAGTTTCCTACACAATGGGAATAATCATATGGTTGGGACACAGAGAAAACGATTACATTATTGAAGCACAGCAACAAGTAAATGAATTATGGCTCTTTCAGCAGCAGGGCTATTCTTTAATGTGAGGTTCAGAGTGCATCTTTTACACACACAGTCTTAATATACAGCGAAACTTAATGAGGAAACAGCAAACTGGCATGGAATTTGGATTAGTTGTGCCTGTCCTGTCAGACAATTTCCTTTGTATGAAAATGGGTTTGCATCACAGATTCATGTTCCTGGGAGACGATAGCTTTCTCCCTCTTGAGTTGCTTCTTATTGATCCTTTGTGGCAGGTTTATCCAAGGTGGCAGGTTTAATTTCCTTCCTTACCACTAACTCATGCTTTTCAAACACCTGTCTGAATGTTGCTGAGGTGAGGAAGAGTTTGATTCAATCAGGAACTTCATTATGACGTGCAAAAGAGGACTCTTAAAAGACCCATATGACACCTAGAAAGTTTAACTTCCAGACACTCACTGAACTCTGTAGTTAACTGGTACTCCTAGCTGGTACCAAGTCATAGAAAGAAACATTTAAGTTAGGTTGGTATCTGTGCTGATAAACCAAAAGTTCCCATAGGTGACATGAAAGATTATTCAGAGCAGTTGATTTTGCAGAGAAAAGGGTTATCATTCCCACCACATACGCCCCCACCCTCCCCAGGCACATCCATACTGCTTCTGCTCCAAATTACTGTCAAATTATCCCAAAAGAGAATAACCTACAGTTGAATGATCAGAACAATTGCCTGAGCCTTAGAAATCCTTTTTTCACATCATTGCCTGGACCATAAAATAACCTGTAGAAGTAAACAGCAAAAGAGACAATATATTAAGAGTAAAGAAACACCATCAGAAAGCACAAGAATACCCAAATGAGGAAAGCAGCAAAGGGTGTGAATTCTCTCAAGTTAAACAGAGTGAGGCAAGCCAATGCTTGATGAAGGTACAGAGTTATAAATGAAACTCACTCCTCAGACTGATAGCCTGCTGAAGAATTGTGGGGATGTGGGGAAGCAGAGGCCTTGCAGAAAGTAGAAATGAATCTTGCATTAATGCTCAGAGCAGGGTCCCACAACACCAGTCTTTTTGCAGCACATCAGCCTGAGGAATTCATTGTCAAACTGAAATATCAGTAGAAAAGAGTGGAGTAATCTGTCAAAATTATTAACAGCAGATTGCCAGGACTGGATGAGGTTCACCCATGTATGTAGAGGAGCTCAGATACCCAGTGGCCACCTTGCTCAACCCATTGTTTGTGATGTCCTCAATTCCAGAGGAATAGGCAATGGCAAATCAATAACTTATTTTAGAAAATGCTCTAGGAGTATTCCGAGATTTATAAAGACTGTCTTCATTAGGTAGCTCGAGAGAAACTATGATATGACATAATACAACCATAATACATCAGTGCCAGCCTGACAGCAGCTGTGATTCACAAATCTGATAGCAGTTGCTGATGGAGTAAATAGGTGTAATGGTAACCCAGGTGCACTTGGATTTTTAAGGAGTTTTAACAGGACTTGCAAATGGCTCTTAGAGAAGTTAAGCAGTTAGGGAACAAACGGACAGGTCCTCTTGCAGAAAAACTAGTTACGGGACAGGAGCCAGGAGGGTGGGAATGGCATGTCTGGTTTTCACAGAAGTCGGTGTCACCAGTGGGACTCCAGTGGCATCTATGTTGTGCAACGTTATTAAAAATTACCTGAAAAGAGGGATGATGAAACATCAGGTAACAAATTGTTATATTTTGGTCAGGCAATGGAATGGGTTGCCCAAGGAAGTTGTGAATGCTCCAACCCTGGAGGTGTTCAAGGCCAGGTTGGATAGAGGCTTAGGCGACGTAGTTTAGTGTGTGGTGTCCCTGCTCATGGCAGGGGGGTTGGAACTAGATGAACTTAAGGTCCTTTCCAACCCTAACTATTCTATTATTCTATGATTCTATATGGGTGCTTTCTACATAAAAATTCCATTCATTGCTCCTTAGTTTTACAGGAGGGGTCTGTCCCTCCACATATCCCAGTGACCCTCCCAGGGAAGAGAGAGGAATGCAGATAGCTTCTGATCATACGTGTGAAGGTCAGAGGCCCCATGGAAACAAGTGACATTTCCCTTCCCTGGCTTATTTACCCTCACTCACAGAAGCTGAAATACAACACAACTCAGCACTGCCTCAGGGAAGTGGTGGATTCCCCAACAATGGACACTTTTAAGATTTGCCTGGACAGGATGGTGGGATATCTGGTCTAGGTCATGCTTTACCTAGAAAGGTTGGACTAGGTGATCCTTGAGGTCTTTCAGTCTGATATTCTATGATTCTATGATTCAATACTGTGTTTTGAGCCCAAGAAATTGACAGGATTCCCTAGGTGGATCCAGGGTGAGCGCAGCAGGGTCCCTGCAGGATTCCTTATGGCAGAGTGTCCCCATTGGGCTGCTTACTGGAAACGGTGTCAACAGCATCTGTCATCTGCTGCACTCCTGGTGCAATGCCTCAGCTTGCAGTCTGCTTGAAGTTGCCCCAAAGCACCCTGGCCAAGAACAGCAACCCAAATATGTCAGTGAAGGCATCTGCCTGAGCACATGGTGGAGGTGGATGGCTGGAAGGGAATCCTCTGAGCAGCAGAGGAGCACAGCTGGGAAGGGAAAGCGCTGCTGAAACTTACTGAGCCATCCAAAGGCGATTTCTCTTCAGCTCAGGTAATTGACTCCTGGTGTCAGAGCTGTTGCAGGGCTCACGCCTCAAACAAGGAAGGACCTCTGGCATGTAACTGGCCACTGCCAGGAGGTGTTTATGCAGCCTGGTGAAACCTATCTATCACCCAGTGCTTCCCAGGTGCTGGTCCAAAACCCACTGGATCCTGAGGAAGGATGCAGGAGAGTGGGGGCATTGTCAGCCACACTTCCTGTACCCCTGCCTCAGAAGGCCAGCTGGAGCATGTCATGGTGTCTCCTTCGTGAAAACCAAAGCTTGAGGAGCTTGTCATGTCCTTGTGGAAGTACAAGGACATGACACCAATGGGGTATAAGAGCCATGTGGGACATGGCTGCGGCGCACATCTAGCCCTCAGTGGTGGTGCTCTGATGTAGGAGTAACCAGAGGCCTCTGCAACTGAGAGGCATCTTAGGTGCCCTCTACTACCCTCAGTCATTACCTGCCAGCTCCTGTTTTAGACCTGGCAGATGACTGTGGAAACTTCCAAAATAAAGACCCAGCAGTCTGGCTGGG